TTGGGCGAATTTACGGGATTCTTTTTCAGCCGAAGAGGCTCTCACGGAGGTGAGTCATATTTTTGTGCAATATGCCGATGTTCTTAAGCCAGCAGAGGATGCAGCGGCAGCTCTGTGTGGAGATCTTTCAGACGATCCTTTTTTGCGGATGCTGGCGTCTGAAGGCGAGGCGGCAACGACCACAATGGAGGTGATGGATGATTTATTGCGTTTAGAGACGCCTGTGCAATTTCCTGCACCCTGTGGCGCGTTGTTGCTCATCTCCATTTTTCGCACTTTGTCGCTTAACTTTTCGCGACTTTCTGCAGAGTGGGAGCAACAGAAACAGCATGTGCGGGAAGGTGCAATGGATTATTTAGGGCGGGAGGCTACATTCTGTACGATAAGGGATATTGGTATCTTTTGAGTTCTTATCCAGTTGGCACATCGTATGGTACTAGGCTTTCAGTTGCAACCAGTTGGCTTACTGCGATTATGGCTATCATTTTTGACTCATCTCTTTACCCATTTCGTACCTCATTTGACTGAAGATGATGAAATTGTGCTGATGACATTACACACAAAGGATGGATCCAGGTCTCGTGCAGAGGAAGAACCACCACGACGCGCATATAAACGCTCGCCGAATGAAACCTCTCAGGGCGAGCCACGTGCCATTTTGGGCGAACTTCTTGCGGACCTTGCATTGATGCCCCTTGTGGACGGTGAGGCGGTTATGCAGTGTCCTGTGGCAGTTCCACACCGTCCTGGTAGCGCACAGTGGATACAGAAGCAAAGTGAGCGGTCACAGGATGTCCTCATACTGCAACGCGTGCTGCCTGTTCTTGTGCTGGAGGAATTGTGTTTTGCGCTGAGAATCCCCATCGAGGATTTGGACGAGAGGGAGGCGGATCCGGCGTTTGTACGCCAAGTGGGAAAGACGGTGGAGCAGTCTTTCTTGGGTGTACTTGGCGTGTTTGCATTCTGCCAACGCGTGGAGCTTTTTGTGGTGCCGGGGACTTTTACGGACAAGCGCTTTGCAGAGTTGTTGCAAACTCTCTGGTTGGCGGTGGAGGCGGGTTCCATGGTGATGGCGCCCACGTGATGTCTTCATCATCTGTTTTTAACAACAACAATTATTTTTTTTTTTTTGGTGTCGCTGTTTTTTTCCACTTTGTTCCTTACAATGAAGGCATTGCATGGGAATACACGGCAGTTGAGGCGGCACGAAATCCTTGGCACCGCCTGCGCCAAAAATGGAATAAAAAGAGAGGTGTAATGTGGACTCAATGTTCTTTTTTTGCTTTCTAGCGTTTTTGCTCATTTGTTTTTACACCTATTTTTTTTTCTTTTTTCTTTGTTGCCCCCTTTTCCCCTTTTCCATTGGCTCTACTACGAAAATAGTGTTGTGGGGGACCGATGAGGACGGGTAGTGTGCAGCTTGGGCGTCTTTTTTCGCCATCTCTTATCGGGAGAAATCGTTACTGTACTCCGCATCTGCAGCAGGCAAATTATCTCCTGCCTTTTGTTGCGGGGGCCTGTTGTACCGTGGAGGATGCGAGACGGTTGTTTACTCGTTGCTGTGGTTGCTATCATCACCATCTTGCGGAGGGAGCGGACGAGAGTCACGGTGGTGACAACTCCACCGACACGGAGGCCGTGTTGGAGGAAAGTGTGATGTCCTTGCAGCGCCTTGGCTTGATCTCGCTCACACACGAAGAACAGGCAGTCAGGGGAGAGTTGCAAGTTCGAAGGATTTATCGTGAGCCCATTATCACGATCAATTTGCATTCCATCAATGTGACCTCTTTACAGAGAGGTGAGAAGGAGACGGAGGCACTCTTTCAGATGTTGCACGGTGTTATCATTCCTCTGATGTTTTCTCGTCTTGCGTCGTCCTCAGCTACTTCTCCAACAAATTGCAGTCCGCGTTTCGAGGAAGAAGTTTCGGCGCAGTTGTGCTTTTCTTTGCTGCAACAGTCAAGAGGAACCTGCTCAAAAGTGAACGACACGACGTGCCGATTTATGGTGGATTTGGTGAATGAGGCTCTGCTTCTTGGGGTTCGTGAGCGGGTACTGTTCCCATGTGGAGGTGGTCTTTTCCGCTTGCATCGCGACATGACACAGCGGGTTTCACCGTGTTTGTTGACGTTTCAGTGGTGGTGGTGGCGGCGAGTAGATTCATTTTTGCGACATGTTGTAGCAAGCCGTGCGGCAGGCAAGGATGTGGCGTCTGAAGCCATGATTGACGCGGCGCAGGAGCGTGTTCGTTATTGGATTAAAAGGCGAGATGAATATCTCCCACATTTTTTTTTACACGCATCCATGGACGATACCATGGCGTTGGTTGCGGATGCTGTGCGCTGTTGGGGTGTGCCTCAATCTCCTGTGCAAGGGCAAAAGGCACTTCCTCTGCCCAAGTGGAGGCTGCAGTTGTCCGATGAGGCCAAGGCATCACTGGCGTTGGAGACGTTGAATTCCATCAGGTCTTGTCTCGTTCGACGTCCTGCAGGCATCTCTGTAGATGAGCTATCGACACTTATTGCCTGGTCCACAATATCGAGCCTTCTTCAAAAGAAAAGCATCTTGAAGACATTGAATTCGTTCCCTTCTAACTTTATTGTAAGGACGGTCCAAGGGGTGACGGTGGCGCAGCTCCAGCTTTGTTTGGGTGAGACGAATACTATTAACGCCACGGAGGCAAGAACGTGGGTATTGGGCAGAAGAAATGAGTCCTCTGATACCACTGTATCGTTTCTTCAGGAAGTCGATTTTGTCATACGATCCGTGTTGTTTCTGCGGAAGCGGCACCTGCTTGAGAAACGAGTGACATTTGAAGATTTGCGTGCAGTTCTTCTGCCTGAAAAGGACATGGAGGTTACAGACGCTTTTTTAGAAGTTCTGCGCCGTTATGATGTTGTGACCGGCTTTGAGGCAGAGAAGCCTGTCTCGTGGCATTCTCTGCAGCAGGAGAGGGTTTTTCTGTCTTCACGAGAATCCGTCGCGCTGAAGGCGATTGAGGCCTCTAGGAAGAGAAAAGGAAGCAAATATCAGCTCTATGCGGAGGCGATTAGTCCTTTCCTTTTCCGGTGTAGTGAAGAGGCTACCGCAGCCGGAATTTCTGACGCATCTATGCCCATTGCTCTCTTGGAGCGTTGGTTACAGTCCGATCGGCTCTTGTTAAATCGAGCAGATCTTTTTAAAATGCTGCGTGAATGTTCTTTGCCATTTGTCATGGATGAGAAGGCGCAGTCCATTTATCTCGGACGTGGGAAAATGGCAGATTTGTCTCAATGTGCTGTGCCACCGTCTCCAGTAGATCCGATGCCCTCAACGTTGCCTCCACCCCCACCGCCGCTGCCGACGCCCGTAACTCCATTACAGAAATTAACATTTGATTCGCAGCTTTCCCGTGCATTAAAAGGACAGCATCCAGACGCTCTGTTCCGTTTTGCTGAGGCTACAATACATGCGGTGTTTGGGCTTATTTTGCCTCTTGTTTCTGTTCCTTCTGGAATGCGGCTTCAGAACCTTATTCGCCGTGTGCGCTGGGGATCTGTGGCAGCAACGCTTGGCGTCCTCCCATCGTTTTTAGAGGCATTTGATGGCCTTTTTTTTGATGTGTTTGTTGATACCAGCGGGCAGATGGAGGATATGGTGGTGACAGCGTATCGTGGCCATGTAGGGGCTTGGCTTCTTTATGCCCGTCTGATATCACGCCTATTCCCAACTGACGTGAACATCCCGCTACGACTTGTTGCCGAGGGTCTATCGTGGGGTGTGTGGTTTGCCCCCCGGTTTGGTGATCTTCCCACGCTTCTACGGCGTGTGGGACGCTCTTGTCGAGAAGGATATCTTCTGGCAAAGAATGAGTGTACTGTTGTCCCATCCGCGGAGGACGATGCGGCGCTGTGGGAAATTTTAGAAAATGTGAGACGAGAAGAGAAGGATGAGCAAAAACCGCATAAAGTCTTGACGGAGATTCGGCCGTACTTATTAGTCAAGCCGACATGTCTCATTCGATACATGCGTGGGAACAAGAAAACTGACAGCAGTGGCGATGACATGTGGATGCAATATGCAGAAACCGCCATTCGACGTTTTCCGTTGTTTTTTCAGTGGAATACTGGTTTGCAGGGTGCGACACCACTTCTGCGTATTGCGTTGAAATGCGCCCCCGCACCTGATGGACTTGCCGCTTTAGTGGAAGAATACGTTTGTCCCCTTCTGCGACAGCGCCCTCAGGATGGTACCAGCATTGCGGAGTTGGATGATCGACTTGGGTGGTCCCGCGGCAACTTTAATACGCATCCCGCGAGTTCACGTGCTCTTGGCGTTGTTGCCAGTGGAACTTCGCTGTATGGTATTTTGCAACGGTACGTGGAGGCCGTAGATCCGCCGCGGATTCTGCTACAGCGGGGATCAACACGGGCAACGGAGCATGAGAGTGTGATGGTGCGTCCCAATACTTGTATTTATCGAAGCCCAGAGGACATGTTACTGGAGGTAAATGGCCTAGAATACATGACAAATGAGAACGCGACGCTTCGTCCATCGGGGAGACCCGTCTCTCTTTTTGAATTGTTGGCGGAAGAGCAAGAACTACAGGGAGGAGAAAATGTCCCAAGCCTGCCCCGAACAGAACAGTGGCGCGTCTCGTTGCAGTGCAATGGAGAAAAAGCCGCTGAGTGGGAAGTGGAGTTGGCAAATGGCAGAGTTGACGTTCTGGTCTGGTGTGAGTCATGAACACACGACTTTCTTAATTCCCTACGAAGGTTTGTATGTGTGTGTTTGTGTGTGTGCCTGAGGGAGGGAGGGAGAGGAACCATCAGGTGTAATAAAGCTTTTTCCTTCTCGATTGTTGTGCAAATTATACGGTTGATAATATTGTTGCCCTTAATGTCATGTTTTATTTTTTGGTTGGTGTTTGCTGTCTCCGCAGGAAGATAGTGGGCGCAAAAGGAGGAAGGGGAAACGGAGGGCAACAATAGAGAGAGAATTGAGGGGGAGTGGGAGGGAGGATGTCCTCCAAGAGTGGAAATGGCTCCCGGGCGCCAACAACCCGAGCATCCACTTCGATGCCTCTTTACAACACTGCAGTGCACTCTTCTCTGAACCCGCGGCCGGTGATGTTGCGTGTACCTTTGCTCACACCGAGTCGCAATGAGGCGGAGGACGAAAATGCGGATGTTGGTGAAAGCCGCTTGCATGCGGCGGATCCGCAATGTGGCCCTGCCACTGCAATTGACAGGAGTAGTCGTTGTACGAAGGAAGGACGGGGTGCGGATGCTTGTGAAGGGACCGACTTGAACAAAGGCGATGCAAGAATTTCGTTAATTTCACCGCGATCGCTTTGGCCACTTTCAGCAGGAGTGGGCGTGGCAGAAGGCCGTGATCAACGCCGCGTCACAAAATCAACGCCACCGGTTTTTTGTAGGCGCCGTAGTACTCTTGTGCTATGCTCACCACGACCATCCCCGCCGAGCAAGGGCGGCGTGGGTGTGGAGCGTCCTGATGAGAAGGAGCTCATTCCTGCCACCGTGATTACTGATGCTTCAAAAATACGGCTGAGAACAGGTGGTGACAATGATCGTGTGGAGATGAAGGATATCCTCCCTGCTGCCCCTCCCCGCCGCAGGGTAACAAGTCCCCTTCAGCATCTCCTGGTCTACCAAAATGAAGCACAGCGACAGATGCAGGACTCTTCTGTAGGTCATTTATGCGGTGTTCAAGGGAGCTCGACACCCCCATATGGCGTTGCTGCATCTACGCCGTTCTTGGAGGCTGAACTTCAACGACAATCGCCCTTTGTACAAGGAGGCGATGTGCATTCAGCTAGTGATAAATGTCGTATTTCGCCGACTTCTCTTCAGTTTTCCCTGCCTCGCGACGACAAAAGCGATTCTTCCACTGATACTTCCACTTTTGCGGCGCAAATGCCCCTTATTAACACTCGAATAAGCCCTCAGCGGAACTGGATGTCTCCCCTACCCAATAGCAGGGCTGTGTCTTCGCTGGCACTTGGAAATGAGGACTGCTCTACATCAGAAGAAGATAATGGAAACAGCAATAAAAGGGCGACATCACAACCGGTTCCTTGCTTTGGTCCGGTGCCATCCGGCATGATGACTCGAGTTGCCGGTAAGGCAAGGGATAACGCTCGATCGTCTCGGGCCTTGCGCGGTTCCCTTGTTCCTTCCGCAAGACCCTCTGACACGGTGGCGAAGCGTCGAACTCGGTCAGCAATTCCGGCAAAGACCGATATCATGAGGGCATTTCATGTCTTGGAAATACAGAAGAAAACGCTGGTACTGATGGAATGCGAAGATAAGCAGCGTCGTAAAATCATTAATAAATACGTGCACGCCACACGTGGGATACTCGTGAATTATACCTTTCGACGTTTTTTGATTCTCGCACAGGATGAGACAGCGTCATCTTCTCTTTCACGTAGTCGCAAAGTGGCATCCTCTTCTTCAGAGGCGGAAACAACAAGGCGAACAAGCGAGAATGTGGCGAAGAAGGAAGGAAAGAAAGTGACGACTGGTTTAGAGGTGCCTGGTCCACTGCCATATGCTTTGATGCGAGAAGGATCCGGCTCTTCTTCATCAAGGTCATCCAGATGGCGTAGTGCGGCTTCTGGTGCCAATATAAATGCTCGGGAGTACTCAACGCCTTCTTCTACAGGTGGCAGCCCTAACGTGCAACAGTATCGAGGAAAGGGGAAAGAGTTAACTGCGAAGGGGTATATTTCTTCACGTTCCATCTGTGAAAATAATTTTTTTTCATGTGCGGCGCCTACCATTCTTCTAGAAGTTGGTGAAAGTATGAAGAATATCCACCATGCCATGCGCCGTGTTGAGGGGCAAATTCTCCGTCTGCTTTCGGCAGAGATAAGATCTAGACAACGAGTGGTAGAAGTGGAGGGTGAAGCGTTTCATTTCCTTTTAATTTATCATCGTCTTTTTGAGACGGCACTGCAGCCTTCTTTTATTTACTTACAGGAGGCATGCCACTGGCAGAGCATCGTGACGGAGGCAACTAATGCATTTCATCGCCTACAATGTATTCGACATAATTGTGAGCTTCAGCAAAATATTCGGAGTGCTCGTGTTTATGCCCGACATGTGGCAACGGTGGTAGAAGAAGAAACTCGCATCCGCCTCATGCTTATTCAGCAAACAGAGTCCCAGGAATATCATCGTTTGACACAGCAATTTCATTTGGGTTTGGCAGCACTTTTGGAGCTGAACATGTGCAGCCAGCGACGCTTTCTGCAGGAAGTAAGTGAAGAGATGGAAACCACCGCAATCCAGGAGATGCGGGGTCGAGAAGCGTTGTGGACGGAAGAGCTCCGGCAGAGAGGAATTTTGTACCGATGTTTTGAGGTTGAATACGGAAATCATAAATTGTGTCATTTGGATATGCCACTCTTCACGCACAGGAGGAAGGAGGAATTGGCTGTGAATGCGTCGATTGAGTTAAGCTCCATAATGGGTGGGAACGACGAAAACTCGTGTCTCAGCCACGTGGAGGCTTCTTCTGCAACGCCACTAGAGGTCACGATAGCAAATGTAAAAACATCCTCAACCGTGCAATCTGTCAAGTGCGGTGGTGCTCATCTTTTTGCTATTGACACTGGGGAACACGACACTGCCCGAGATGCATTCTGTTTGAGGAGTGGGGAACAGGCTGCACAAGTGGAACGCGAGTTTTTCCAGTGGAGCTCGACATCAAACACTTTACCCACCACGACGAATAATACGACGACAGGCTCTGCCACAGTTGTTGTGGGCGGTGGATCTCATTCTTTACAAAACACTTCAATAGGTGAAAATAGGAAGCCGCAGACAGTATCATCGCCGCAGCCACAGACTGTTTATTGCCCCAGTGCTACTTTGCACTCGGGTACATCTTCTCTTCAGATTAATTCCGCTGCGGAGGAAAAGGGTGATAGGGGTGAAAAAAAAAGTGTCGATGCATGTGTTGACGTTCCCGTTCGAGTGCATGGAGGAGATGTCGATGCGTCCATAGAAGTATTGGATTTCCCTGTTGATTCATCGGAGTTGCAGAAATCAGTGTCATCTAATTCGATTTCTAAGGCGTTGCGCCGTGACGTTGCTGTTTCGGTCAATATGTGTTCACTTGACACCTCACGAAGCGGAATGGAAAGTCATGCGACACCAATGAACAGGCACATCGTTCCGTGCTCCTTGAAATGCTGTAGATCTCGCAATGGAGCACGGTACGATGCCAGTCCGTCCCCTTTACCTCAAAAAGGCAGGGGTCGACAAAGAATGGTGTCGTGCGGAACCCAATTGACCCCACCTACTAGACGCCCTTACAGCGACGATGTTATCTTTGATCGAGCGCCGCATCGGATCTCTGCGAAAATTAGAATTGAAGAAGTAGCGCCTTCGAAAGCAAAGACAGGGTCGATGAATGAATCATTCAATAGAGCTGTGAGCACGCATTGTTCATCATCCGCATCATCCTGTCAACGAGAAGCTGTCGTGCGAGAGAATAGTCGTCAAGGGTATGTAAAGGAAATGGGAGACGGTGATGAAACATTTGAAAAAATTGAGAGCATTGACGACACTTTTCACACTGCAGTAGGGGTGGATGAACACGCAACACATGGGGATGAGGAAGCATTTCTTGTTGAAAATAATTCAACATCCTCTCATAGTCCCAAAACGGTTCACCCGACCGAGAAGGCTGTAGAACTGCAAGAAAGGAGTAAGGGTAATTTTTCTACGGGAACTGCACAGCGTGAGGGTGACACGTTTCCTGAATATTCTCTCTCCACCATGTTAGAGAACACGGCAGCTGCGAGCGTAGATCCTTACGAAACGGATGTTCGAATGGTAAAGGAAAATCCCGCTCTCACGGCTGTGGAAATAACCACTGTTTCCTCTCCATCTTCATGCAGTCACAGCGTGAGCGCAACTACGGGGTTGAATGAATTATCTGATGGGGATGCTAATGGCGATAATTGCATAAATGACGAAGAAGACTGTGGTGGTGAGTCTTATATGTCTCCCATTGTGGTACAAGCCAATGCTTTTCAGGAAACAAGGAGAAACACTGTGGGTGCCTACTACCCTCCGCTTAATTACATGCGTCCCACGATGTCGTGGCGGAGACAACACGAAGGACTTGAATGGCCAACAAGGCTTCGTCCTTCGCAAGGACGTAGCCGTAGCGTGACATCTAATTATAGCCTGCGATCAGGGAATGAACGAAGCTGGAAAGAAAACACTTTAGTTCACTTGATACGTATCCCTTTCGAAGAAGGTCCAGGTGTATGGGGAGATGTCGAGATGCCGCGTAGGCCATTTGGCTATGATGCTTTGGGAAACAAAGCCTACGAGATGACAAATGCCGTTTGTTGCCGAGCACCCGTCACTACCACCATCTCCTCCTCGGTTCGAAGAAGAGATGCGGCTTGTCGATTCATGGCGGAGGGATCTACAAGCCGCAGTCCTTCACGTGCAAGAAGTTCAATTTCGTGCCACGCGAATGGCACCCCAACAGCAGAGAAGGAAAACCAGGAGTTTTTTGAAGATCCCACGACACTGGAGAATCTTTGTGGAATAGTTGGGCGGAAATTTGTCTCACCACAGCATAGAATAACTGCTACGAATGCTGACAGGGTATCTACCACTAGAAGATTGAGGTCGATTACGCCTTCGTATGTTGATGCTTTTTATAAACTTGACCGTGAGGTGGCGGGACGTAAGCGTTTTCTTGCTTCCCTGCGTCATGGTCCGACACTGCGGGAGTCCTCTCGGAGAGCAGCGACAACTCCATGTCGTCAGCATTCCCAACATCCGTATCGACGCAGCGATGGTGGGAACATTAGTGGTCGTGGGTTGACTTTGTCTCCAGGTACTTCCTGCATGAACTTTTCTTGTTCCCCGTGGAGCCCGAAACCGAAACCGAAACCGTGGCGTTGAAAAGTTATATACAGCTATAAGTACATGTATATTTCCAGATGCACACCCAGAGAAGGAGACACACACAGACACACACACACACACGCTTGCACTATCACGTACAATGCGTTTTTTTCATAAATATACATTTGTCAATTGTCCATAATTTTGTGGCAAGCCAAGAAATGTGGAAACTTTTATTTCACTTTTGCAATTCTGGTTTGATTTGCAATACAAAGTCCGTTTACTACTCGGGCGTTTAGAGGCGGGAAGTGGTGGGGGATTATTGGAGTGTTCAGCCCCCTGTTTTGCCGTACAGCTGCTACAATTTGCCAGGAATAAACCGCTCAAGGGTAATAATAACGTGAAATTTGAAGAAAAAGTGTCTTTTTTTTTTTTTTTTCTGCGTGCGCATTTGCGGGATTTTATGGGGTTTTTTGTTGTTGTTTCCACACGCTGAGGGAGGTGTGCAGCGTCGACGAATAAGGTAAGGAGGGAAACGAGATATTAAAAAGAAAAAAAAAGAAGGGAGGGAAAGGTAGTGATAGACATGTCACCTGGAGAGAAACTCTGTGACGGCTGCGGCAATCCTGCATTCTCTTTTCAGTGTCCACTTTGCCAGGCGGAGATTGCCACTGACCGTGGCTTTTTTTGCGGTCAGGAGTGCTTTGCGAAGAATTGGCGGAATCACCGCAACACATTCCATAAAAAAGGCGTTGTTCGGGCCAAACAGCCGCCAGGACCCGCTTCGGTCGAGGCAGCTGGGGACCGCCAAAAGCGGTTGACGGGGGTTACGAAGGAAGCCGGTGGATCCATCAAAAAACGGCGGAAACTGGAAAAGGAGGTGGGAGTGAAGACGAAGCGGCCAGGTGCCGTGCCTTGGCTTCCGCCGCCAAGGGGGAGCCCTGCTACGGCCGAGGTGACACCCCCGTTACCCCCCGACATTCCCCGTGCAGTAGTCGGATGTCCATCGGCAGATCGTCGCATCGCATTCTGGTCAGCAGCTGTTGCAGCGTCGCACCATATTGCCGCTGCTTTTTCTCAGGGGGAAGGCGTCGCACCGTTTAGCGTGCTAGTTGTCACAAGCAGTCCATTGGCAGCGCATGCCATGGCCTGGGCAGCACGTTGTGCTGGTCTTGCGGGTGTTATGCGTCTTGTTGTGAGTGCACCGAGCGAAGCTGTGGGAGCTAACCTATTGAAGCACACTTCCGACGAACGACGGGTTATTATCACGACACAGGAGATTGTTCGGTGTGTGGCCGACGGATCCGTGGCCGTGTGGCTGCCGAGAGCAGAAAGTCTTCTTGTGACGCTGCCAGGTGTTGTAGATGCGTGCGACCTTCAGGCTGTGCACTTACGTGCTGTCTTTTTTGTTGGTCGCACCGCTGGTTCGGATTCAACGGAGGACAATTGGTGTTTGGAGGAGGAAATTGTTTATCATGTCTCACCGCCGCTGAGCCCTCCTGCTGCCCTACTTCATCAGGTTGATTTTTTTTCAACTCCAACGGAGGCTTTCTCAGCCACTGGCGACAAGGAAGCAGCGGATACCACACCCAAATTGAAGTTGCTTCGTTTTGATAATGATGTGTCAACCTCACTTTCACGTGGTGACCTTTCAGGGGCTCTTCAGCATCTTGTGCGCCTGTACAGTGCAAGTCGGGGCATGTTTGAAGAGGTTTTTTTAAGCACCTTCTTGTCGACGCTGGGTGCTGCAAGCGTCACTCACGCCCATCACATGCTGGCGTACGCCGCACGTTATCTTGTGGACCACTCCGCGCGGTTCGCTGGTCCGCCGGGAGGCACACTAAAGGAAATGACCCTCCGTGCAGTGACAAAGGTGGTTCGCCTATTCCCACCCATCAAGGAAGCAGAGGAAGGAAAAGTGGCGACAAAGAAGAGGGGAGATGCCGTCACCACTGACGCCACTGGGAATGGTGATTTAAGTGAATTTCTCACTCAACCTTCTGCCATAGAGAAGAGAAAGTTTTTGAACTACTACGAGACGCTTCCCAACCTTCAGCTACAGGCCACCATTTGTTACCTCTACGAACATGCCCCACCTGGGACTGTAGACGCCTTTGGTGCGGCTTGGGGCGTGGATAAAGTTGTACCGGGGCTTGAAGCATTGAAGTTGGCAGATAGAAAACGTGAGGATGCGGTGCAACGGTTACGGAATCGTTACGGATCTAAGCTTAGTTCAGCATTTGCCAATTATCTTGTGGTCCTGATGCACTTTATCTACGACGCAGTGGCTGGGTATTCTCTCGCTGTGGAGGAGTTAGAGAGACGCACCCTATGGTCTTTGACACTTGAGCCAGAAGTGGGACCTCTCCGTAGTTTTCTTTCGAATTGTTTTCTGCTGCAAAAGGAGGACACATCTTGCGCTGAATCAAAGAGGAGGGAGACGGCAAGGCTTTCAAGCCGAAAGGTGTCGAATAAACCCCCGAGCCGCACGGAAATTCTTCGTTCTTTTCCGGTGCGAACTTCCGTTTTCGAGGAGCCACTCTTTCTTTCGTGGTTGACGCTTCCACTTGTGGGGAAACGGCAACGTGATGTGGAACGGTTGCAACGTCAAGCTGTGGAGGAGATTCTTATGGCAATGCCAAGAAATCCCCGGCCCATGTACATTGGTGACGTCGGCAATCTTATTGGTAAATGGAACCATTTCAATGCTCGCTTTGAAGGTGCTCTTGGTGTAGGTCTCATGGAATTTCTTATGCAGCACCCTGAACATTTTCGTGTTGTTGGCAACCTTGTGACGCGGCGTTCTGCAGGTGTGTCTGAGCAAGTGAGGATGCGATTTGATAACGACGACAGCGGTGACGATGATGATAATGGTAAAGAATCGGATCAGGAACGCAAGGCAAAGGACCGTGCGTTGCTTACAGGTGTAAAGGGCAGCGGTGGACGTGGATTGAATGCGAAGGATCTGCCCGCGCGAGCACGGAAGAAGGCGACTGTGAAAGCGTTCAATAAAGCACGCTTTAACCGCAACTACAAGCCAATGGATCCAGCGGCAAAGGTGCCCGGATATGTCAAGCATGGCCCGCGCAAAGTAAAGGGCAGGGGCCGCAAGGTTAACAAGCGTGTCACGAAGCGTGGCGGTTAGTGACTTTGACGCACAGCCACAACGAGGGAGGGAATCAGAACAAAAGTAATGGAAACACAAACAAACAAAAAACACTGGGAGAGAGAAAAAGAAAATGAAAATAAGTGACATCCGTTAATTATCTTTCTGAGTCTCATGGTGGTGCAAAAATCGGGCTCTGCTGATTTAATGCGGCTCCAATACACAAACACGTTTAAACAAAGATGGATAAGGTAAAAACGGAAAAGTAGAAAAGTAAATATGTGAGAGGAGACGGTGGCTGCGGCGGCTTTGGACCATATATATTTACACATATATGTATGGGGGGAATCAATTCATGAAGTCTCTTAGCCTCCTAACCACCACCACCACCAACGTTCCAACTGTTTCATTGAGGGAGAGATAGATGGAGGGAAAGGACAGATTTCTTGGATTTTCTGCGTTTTTTTCCTGAAAAGGAGGGCGCAAAATTTTCTTCAATCGATGATGGCTCCCCTTTTTTGTCTTTTCTCTTGTCTTGACACAGTGAAGGAAATAAAAGGGTGGAGGACCCAAAGAAACACAGAGGACGGAGGGGAGAAATCAATCAAGAAGAGGTGGTAGTATTGTTGTGCGGTGATGAGGGCATCGCCCCGCTTGTCTGCATCTTTTTCTTCAAGTGCCATTTATTCCACTCCTACTGCGGTGGCCGCTGCCGCTTCTTCTTCCTCGTTGGATGGTGCACTGCAAGAAGTGGAGCGAAGTTTCTTGCGCCATGTGATTCCAATGCGTGTACAGGGCGCAGGATCTGCTGCGGCTCTTTACCGGCATGCTTTTCTTCATCAGGAGAGCCTTATCCAGCGTGTGCTTGGTGCACTGGAGGCTGTTCCACTTCCCGCTCTTCCCCGCATGCTTCTTGCGGAGGGTTTTCAGCGGATGTTGGATGGTGAAACGCCACAACGGGATATTCGAGCTCTTTTTGAGGAAGCGGAGAATGAGGCGCGACGCGTTTTGATTCAAGCCGAATTCCATTCTCCTGTGAATTCTCAGCATTGTGACGGACATTTCTATGCGGCTATCAAAACCAACCCATTGATGCGGTTGTTGGCGTACGAACTGCGAGCAGCTTGTGGGTACTATGCGCAAATAATGTCAATTCGAAGCCAACCTGAGGATGGAGCTGCGATGCTGCTACGCACACTCATTGCAGCCGATATTCGTACTGATCCTTTTTTAGTTGACGTTATGCTAAAGTTTGCCGCGCTGCGCCGAAATGTGGATACGGGAGAAAGACTGGAAGCCTGTTCATCGCCCGTCGAGGAGTTTGTTAAGGAATGTCTGTTACTGGAGCGTGATGCCTTTGGTAGATTTCGTTTTGATGCCCGTGGTGATAACCGCCACCTCTTGCACTGCATTAAACTTTCTGATATTACGAAGACCCCGAGGGATTTTGCAGTTTTACTGGATCCAGTGCTGCGGCAGTACGGCAACTTTTGCATTCAAAGCACATCTGTGCATCAGGGGAGGTGGATGGAGCACCGGCTTTCGTGTGCGGAGGAGTCACACCGCGTCGATCCGCACCTCCCACTGCTTGAAACTGTTGAGGTTCCTTCTAACAACGAGAGTGAACTTTCTGTCGGTGACGCTGTTGGTGTTGCTCACGGAGTATCTGGCAGGCCGCCGCTAGTCTTTTTTGTGCGGTACAACGATCCCATGTGTCGCCGCCATAAGGAGACAACGCGGGAAAAAGAGGCCGAGAAGGACCACCTCGAAGTGTTTGAACTGGCCGTGGAGGACAAAAGTCGCACATTTTGGGAGAAGTGGTTTATGGATCGCTGAGAGGCAGGGCGGTGGGGGGCTGACATTTGGGAAGGGGACACGAACGCAAGACCACAACAAAGCCATGACATGTCTTTGAGCAAAAAGAAGGTGATGTTTATATTTGTTCTTTAACAGGTTGTACTTACTATTACCATTATTACTATTAGTATTATGGTGTGAATTACAGAATATTTACCCTTACGTACTCTTCTTTCTTTTTTTTTTTTTTTCATTCTTTTTTTTTTTTTTGTTGTTGTTGTTACTCCTGCGTATTCAAGGCGTCTCTTTGACACGACGTTCTCAGTGTGGAGACCACTGAAGTCCCTTTAGCGTAAGAACCACAAATAATAGCGGACACTTTTGCTTGCCTGACGATTCCCCTTTCTTTTTTTGTGTGTGTGTCTGTGCGCGCGCATAGAGACAAAAAAACGACAGCGTTTATTCGATAAAGTACACCATCCCAACGCATAGGCATATACATCTTTATACATCAGGAGGGGAGGAAAAAAAAAAAAAAAAGGTGGACGGCATATTACGAGTAATAATATTGACAGGAATAATAATACAGGGCATGCGGGAATGTATAAAGAGAAATAAAAAAGTAAAAATAACATGAATAATTCTCAGAAGCCGGAAAATATGAGGGGAAACGCCTCTTTGCGTAGTGATCAAGTTTCCTTCGGATCATACCTCCCTGAGAATGCGGAAGAAAGGATGCGGGCGTATGTGTACCGTGGGACGGACAAAAGTCTACTTTACAATTACGTGTGGCGACCATTGTGTGCCAGACTAGTGACGTACTTACCCGTATGGCTATCGGCAAACGTGATAACCTTTGCTGCTCTTATTTTCGTCTGCTCCACACATGTATTGCTTGCCTTTTATATACCCAAGTTCTCTGTTGCGAGTGGTGGCAATGGCGTTGGAGGCTTTTATGAGATTGGGGAGGAGGGCAACGAATTTATGAAGGAGAATTTTCCACCACCACCGTCTTTTGTATTCATTTTGTGCGCTCTCTCACTTATGGCGTATACTTTCCTTGACAACCTTGACGGTCATCAGGCGCGCCGAACACGCATGGCATCGCCGCTTGGATTAATTATAGATCATGGCTGTGATTCATTTAACTCTATTATTCTTTCTCTCTATATATCCGCGTCTACGTTGGCAGGACCAACATGGAAAACCTGGACGTTTTTACTTTGCATGATGACAGGCTTTTTTATGAATACATGGGAGGAGTATTATCTTGGGGAGCTTCTTTTACCTCTTATTAATGGTGCAAACGAAGGAGTGATGGCTGCCGTTGGTGTTTATTTATTTACAGCATGGATGGGTGGACCTCAATGGTGGTTTATGAATGGGGTGGAATTGCCGGAGCGACTTATTCCAACTGTGTTGACTTTGTCACCTCCGGTGGCCACTGTGACAATTGAAGCAATTGTGTTGCGGACTGTGTGCCCATGTATAAATGCACCTTATTTTTATGTCCCTAATAGCACTCTCTCACTCCTGCCACTGTTATTTGGCCTCAACTGCAGTGACGCATACATTTCTGCACCACCCACGCCTATTAACGCTGCGAATCAAATGTCTCATGCTGTATATATAGGACATAATACACTGCAGAACACTATTCTTGGACTGTATGATCCCAGCCATCCCAATTTGTTTTGGGTGCGATTTAACACTGTTGTTGTTTTATTTTTTGCATGTAGCACACTAGTTACGGTTCTTGGGAACATTATCCGCGTGTACCGTGCGCTTCACCGTCACAATGATATGAGTATCAGTACATCAGGAAGTATAGTTTGTCAAATTCATTTTGTACATGCTCTTACGCGTTTACTGCCACTTGTTTCAATTATGTTTTTTGCCACATTATGGTTGCTTACTTCCCCCAGTAATATATTTCGGCGACATCCACGCATTTTCTGCTGGACATTTGGGCTACTTTTTGCAAAATCCTCCATCCATTTGATGATAGCGCACATATGCAACGCTAAATTTCACCCGCTTCACCGCACTTTCTGGCCATTTTTCTTCCTGGCTATCCATTTGACGCTGACTTACTGTCGCAATGTGGTTCAATGGACACAACATTACAATCATGGCGATACTTCAGCTCTGCTTAGTGCCAGGAACGTGTGGGGTGTTGTGTTGGACGAGGAGCAGGCACTGTGGTGTCTCTTTGTTGTGTGTGTGTGGAATTACATTCACTTGGTGTGTACTGTTGTGCGTGACACAGCGAAAAGGTTGGGCATCCCTGTTTTTACGGTGCCCCGCAGCAACCAAAAAGCGCTGCGAAGGCAGATTGAGGAAGAGCGAGCTGCGAATGAAAAGGCGGGGGAGAAAATTTTAGGGGCGACCCATCTTTTGAAAGAGGACGGCACCCCAATGGATGAGGGGGGAAGAGGAAAGACAAAGGGGTCTGTTTCAGGGGAGTAAGGAGGTTAGGCAGATTTAACGAAGGAATTAAAAGAAAAAGAAGAGGGTGGGGCGCTGAAAAGGAGAGGGGAGCAGCTGCGCATTTTTTCTTTTTTTGTCGGCGTACCCTCTCCTTTTTATTCTCCTACTCCTCTATTGTCCCGCAAACACTTTTATCCCTTTATGCCTCACTGAAGCAGAAGCAACTGAAAGAAGGAAGAGACCGTTTTATTTTTCTCTTTGGAATGCGTGTGCGGAGGGGGAATTTTCTGACCATCGGTTTTTTTTTTTATTTTTTATTTTTTTTACGTTTTCCCTCTTCTCCCAGCGTGCAGAAGTGAACGGTCAACACGGGCCACGTTTGCAATTTTGGTTTGTGTGCCTGTTGCCGCGGAAGGAGGGATTTTATAGACCAGTGAGAAGAGTCATAGAAGGATGTTGCAAAGTGCATGCATTCGCACAGAAAAATCTCCGGTTTTTCGTCGCCGTCATCGTCAGGGTGTTAGTTCAACGACGACTACGCCATTTCCGGGTTTTATTCCTGGTGCCTCGTTTGATGCCACCGCCCCTTCCAGACGGGAGGCGTTGCAACAGTTCCACCGTCTCGAGATGATGTTGGAGGTGGAGGAAAGATTGCGCGCGGAGGACGGCCTTGTCCATTCCGACACGGGGGGCGGTTCTGACGATGGCCGCTCAGAATGGGGGGACAAAACCGGAGATAAATCAAGACTGGAGTCTGCCGCGACGGCCGCTCTGCATGACGCTCGGGAAGAACTTGCGGGCCGCACAATACATGCGGATCCATATTGTGTGGAAAATGTGTGGTCTGAGGCTCAGCGGGAGTGTCAAGTGGAGGAGGGGCACAGAATGGGTGAAGATGAGGCCATGTTCTCTGCTCGTAAGGGCATTGATTTTGAGCCAAGTAATCTCCTTGAAGCTGATACCCATGCGGCTATCATGGAGGATCTTGAAAAGCTGCATTCTCGCATTCAACAGGCAAGAGCTCAAAAGTCTCGCCATTCGTCTCCTCTTGGAGATGACGCTGAAGGGGCCTCATCGACCAGTGAAAGCTCCATCTGTTTAACTGAAGAGGTGGAATTTGACCCAGAACGTTATGTGGCACCGTTGCTACGCCATTCTGACGTCATTGACGGTGCAGAGTTGTGGACACCGCAATTTGGAATTGATGGCGGAGGGGTGGTTTGTTTCCGGACTGCTCATGACATTTTTTCTGACACCACAACTGTGCAGGAGGCTTTGCAACTCCTGCAGTATAGTGTGCATTCGAACCGCCCAGATGTAGTGGCATGCGTGCAGCGATGTCAGGAACACCAGCGGCAGCATCAACCGATAACAACAATACCCAAGCTTCCGACGGGGGAGACAGTGAACCCCCCCAGAAGAAAGAGGAAGGTAGTGATCCCGGCAACGAACGTGGGTAAACAGCATGAGGAGGAAGCGAAGCTGTATAGACCTCTCCCTTCAGAGTCGCCGCCGTCTGCAGAAGAACTGGCGGCGATTTTGTCCAAGACCCTCCCAGCCATACCTGACGAATTAAGGAACGAACTTATCGATCAGCGGAGACTCCTTGAGCGACTCGCTGCGGCGCAAGAGGCGAGCTTTCGTCAACTAGCGCGTGAGCAGCAAGAGTCAGCACGGCGACGCATCATGGCACCACGTGCCGACACCACCATGCCACTAATTGCTCCATCAAAATTGCAGTACTCGGAACCGTTTGAGATTGCTGAGGCACTCCAAAATCTTCAAGCAGACCCAAAGCGACCGCTTCCTCCTGTCATAACGATCTCAACGGTGCGCCCACAGCCAACGAAGATTCTTCCGCCATCACCCCCTTTATTGCCTCCGCATTACATTGAAGAAGAGCTGAGGCGGCTTCACCGCCACTATGAGAAAATTTTGCGGGACGAGCGTCGAGCATGGACAGATATTATGCAGAAACAAAAGGCGACTTTTGAGATGGAAAAGAACGCTGCAGTACAGACACTACGGAGTGCTGCGGAGCAGCGACAAAATGAAAATACGGAGGAAATTAAACGGGTAATTGCTTTACAAGAAATAAAACGGCGTCGCTGGCAATACGCTTCTGAATCAAAACAGCGTATAGAATTCCAGAAAATGTTATACAAGACATTTCCTTTGGGCGATGTTGGGCATGGGAATGGAGGTGGAAAAATAGGGGTGGCTGCTAGAATCACGCCAGATATTCGTCAGCGGCAAACGGACATCGCGGAAGGGGTGAAATTTTTCTCTTCTAAGAAACAAATCCATTCGTCAGAAGCAGAGAAGGAGGAGGAAGACGAGAAGAAGAAGAAGAAAGAAAAGAAAAGAGATTTGAAAAGTCCCTTTGTCCGGGGCCCTTTTTCTGTTGTGCTGCCGGAGGAGCCGGGAGTTGAACCGACTGCAACGGCCCATGATGCTTCATTGGAGCGAGTGGATGAAGTTGTGATTTTGTCTGATGGTGAGGAGAAGAACGGAATTCAACAAGCGCGTGGGGAGGCAAGTGTCGGCTCACGTGCGCTCACTGATAAACGACGAATAGGATTTTCTTCACCTGCAGGAAAACAGAGAAGGGTCTTAGGACCACAACGCTCACCTTATGCGGTATCATCTAAGCCATCCCTATTGAGGGGAACTGCTAAGACTAGTAGTGGTGGCGGTGTTAAATCTGCTGCTGCTGCTGCTGCTGCTGCTGCTGGCATGAAACACGCACGTGCCTCGTCACATTCTCGGGGTGCAAGACCACAACAACGGCTTTTGAGTAAAGGATCCAAGGAGAGGTCTCCGCATGCCTTTGCAGTTCATGACGCTCAAATTGGCGATGAACGGAATTTTTACAACACGACGGAGACGGTTCTCACCGAGTCGGTTCATTCACTAGATGCCACTCTAACCCCTCCTCCTGTTGTGGGTGGTACTTCACACCTTCACGAAAACACGCTTGATATAGGTGGGAGTATTGCTGGGCAGGCGGTATTCCCACGTAGCATCTTGTTGCTTTCCGATCCGCTGACAAGTGAAGAAATGGAGCGGCAGCACAGTCTGGATTGTGCTTTCAACGCTCTCCTACCACCCCCACCTCAGGCTACTACTAAGGAGGGAGGTGGACAAATTCAAAGACCATGTGACATTTATTATTTTGGGGAAGAACACGGTGCCTTGACACCACGCCGACGAGCAAAACTTCGGGCTGCGGAGGCCCAGACACGCATAGAGGCAAGGCGCCGCCTAGAGCATATAAAAGCCCTTTCATTGACTTCGAAGGGTCAGAAACTCGGGGAGCCTGTACCACATTCTCCAGAGAGCCAGTTATTTGAGGCAAGGAGTGAGCAACGCCTGGCGGATCTTTTGGCCAATGAGACCATTCATAGCATTATCGGCGGCGCAGCTGAGGAAAGCTTAATTGCGGATTTGTTTAAAGGGCTTGAAGATGAGCTGGTGAGCGCCGAGTTGCGCCGTCTCGCATTCAAGAATCTGAAGCAGAGAGATGAAAGTGGAAAAGAGCAGAAACTGAAGGAAGAAGAGTACGAAGGAGATACGAAGCCACCTGACATGGTATCGATGGAACGAGCTGTAGCAACTGCAAAAATTTTTGATGCCCCTATCAATGAGGAAATTTCTTTGGAGGAGACAGTCTTACGCCTTCTTGAAGAGTCTTTGTTGCATTCTCTTTTACAAGAGAAATCGGACGAAAAGGAGGAGGAGAAGACGATCGATAATGAGAACACAGAGGGAGGGGAGGCGACGACGGTATCCTCTCAAAGAGGACAAACAGTATTGATGTCGGACGGAGCATACGAGACGGAGACGGGCCCGTTGTGGGTGCGTGAGGTTGTTTCAGCCACCACAGATCCTCTATGGCATGGAGCAGAGGAAGAGGTGAATCCGCCCCGTGAGTCGTCCATTCAGGCGACGACAATGGTGAGCAGTGAAGAATATGCTCCAGTACTATCAGCACCACCACTGTCAGCACCACCAACAAAAAAAAAGGCACCGTTGACGCCTGCTTCTACTGCGCAGATGGGCGTTGTTATTACGATGGAGGGAGCGACAGGCAATGTTGTACCGGATACCGCTGGTACCGTTCGTATTGTTCTCGATATTGCACCTGTCATGGAGCACCTCACTGCGATTGCACCACTGGATGCGGTGCAACCTACACGCCCCGCACAAGTTGATGCTATTTTGAGAGAAGACCCTCGATTGCCGTGCGCCAAAGAGGAAGAACTAATTTCTTGTGAGGTTGTGGATGCTCCAACTATCACAGGCACCCATCGGTTAACGGTGAGTACGGAGGTAAAAAGGGACGAAATGCAGGAGGTGAGGCCGCCTCTTCTTGTTTCTGATATTCAACTCGGAGAGTCTCATCCACCCGTGCTGACCAAAGAGGAGAAGACGAATGTTCCGCAGCCGTCCCCTCTTCCTCTACAGGGTTATGTGACAGTGGCAGAAGTTCCCAAGGCACGTCAGTCGCAGCATATTGAGATTGAGCGTCAAAAGGAATGTGCTCGATTGTGTGATAATGAGCTGATTCAACGACAGATGCTGGAAGAACAAGAGGATACACTGCGAGCCTCCTGGCACATGATGTGGGACTGGCAACAGATGAATGTTGCGATGCTAATTCAGCATCAATATCAAAAAAAACCATGCGATGTGGCGTCACAACCCGTTTCTGCCGCCGTGCCTTTTACAGAGACGCAAACAGTGAACAAGGTGGAGCCGAGTGTTAATAACGTTTTGACGCCAGCGCCGTTGGACTCTACAATTCGTGATCCCATCACGAGATTTATCTTTGAGTGGATGCACGATTATGACGAAAAGAAGAAGGAGGAAACAGCACGAAATAGGCTTGTGGAATTGCCTCACGAGGCAAGTTGCGTGCCCGAGGGAAAAATATTGCAAGAACGAAGTAGCGGCACGTGCACCACTGGGACGGAAGTGCGTCGGCGGTTACTGTTCGATATCGACAACGCGGAGTCGTCCTCGTGGCTTTCTTCAACGCACCTGAGCAGTTTTGTTGAGGATGGTTTCCCGCGCTTCGCAAATCGTCCACAACCAAGGGTGGCACAGCCACAGCGCAAATACCGACGCAGTGGTGATGAAAATGTTTCATCTGAAACGACCGAGACTACACGCTACACTAACTCCTCTTCGATGTTGTGGCTTGCGCAAGAGGCCTGGAGTCGTGGGGTTTCTCCGCCACCCGTTTTCCCTACAGCGGCAGTGGGCAACGCCACAAGCACAACGGTGACGACGTCCAGTTCCAGTCGTACATGGCCTTCGACGAGCTCTTCAGAGAAGCCACACCTTCGGGAAACCATGCTGCGTCACCTCCGCCGAATACAGTCGTCGGATCCGTATCAGCAGGGAGAACAGGAGAGCCAAAGGGAAGAATACCCCTCTGTGGAAGAGCTGAGGAAGGAGGTGGAAAGGGTTCAGGCTGCCGAGCAAAGAGCTGCCACACATGATGCTAGTCGTTTGGAAGGAGCAAATCAAGAGTCACGCCACACGGAGAACTTTGTTGCTTTGCTACCATTGCTTCAGCGTCCTCAAAGTTGGTAGAAAAATACCGACGTGCGAGTTTTTCTTTTTTTTTTTTGTCATTGGGGAGTGGAGGATTTGGAGAAGCATACCTTCTCACACCTCATTTACGTACACGGGAAAGCATTCCTGCGTGTTTTCTTTTTTCTCCTGATGTATAGTTATTTACTTATTACCTTATTTCCCTCACTTACGGACGTATTTTTGCTATTTCTTTTAGTACGTTGTGTTGTTTTTTTAAACAAGCCGTAGCTACATGCAGATACTTTGTGCCCATCAAAAACTGAAGCAAACAAGTACACAGGCGATGGTCCTCTGAAAACTTGGCATACGCTGGAGACTTAATTACCGCTATTTTACATGGCTTGACTGCAGAAGGCATCCAACACTTGCTGGGTGATATTGGAATGACCTCAATTATTACGGGGCATCTTCAAGAGACGAACTTTGGCTATAAAACAGCTGAAGTCTTGTCTCCTTTTACAAAATCCACGTGCCTCTCGTCCCTTTTTGTGGTCGCTGCATTTGCAGCAGTCGGGGCAGTATACAAGGCACCCATTATTGACTTTGGCTCGTCCGCCACGGGTGAATCGCAAGTATTTCCTTGCTTCTTATTGATTTTTAGCAGAGTATGACTTGACTTTGCTGGGCAACTGCTTGCAATGGTACTGACTGCCTGCACTGAAGAACGGTAATGGCAGGAGCTCTTGGCATTGAGTGCGGGTTGTTATGTCACCAATGCAAAACCGATTTCTGCTGTTTGCTGCAATTAACTGGCATCATCCATATCATGAGGACGAGCGTGTGATTGGGGAAAAGGTTGCGAAAAGAGTGAATAAGGTCTGAAAGACGTTTATTTGCCTTTTTATGGCTGGACGCAACTTATACATATATGTATATATGTTTCCAGTTGTTTTGTGTAATGCTTTACGTGTATGAATGTGTGTGTGTGTGTGTGTGTGTGTGTGTGTGTGGGCGTATCGGCTTTTGTCTTTTGGCTGCTTGTTGTTTCTTTGCTCTAATTACTTCCTCTTTTCCCCCATCTTTTTTGTTGGGCTAAAAGAATAAAAGAAACATAGCGAGACGAAAAAACGCATACATATATATATATATATATAAGGGCGATAAATATATAAAGAAAAGGAGAGAATTAAATAATAATAATAATTAGATAAGGATAATTGGAGTTGGACGTGCATATACGGTTATATCAATATTTATATACTACCGGTCTGTACGTGTGCGTGCAGGAGAGGACGAGGGAGAAGCCGAGCGTGTGGAGGGAAATCTAAGGGAAACACACAAATACACTTACACAAAGACACTAAATATATATTTTATATTCTTTTTTTTTTTTTTGCTTTTGCATTCAGCACTGGACTAAAAGGGTGCAGCGATTTTTTGTTCGTTTTGTTTGCCATATAATAGTCTACGGCTGGCGGGACACCTACGGCACAGCAAAAAAAAAAAAAGAGAGAGCGAGATTCTTTACCACCCTCACCTATCCCCCTCTTTTTTTTTTTTTTTTTCTTCTACCGGTAATACACGTGGTAGGCCGCTATTGACGGGGAATTCAGCAAGCGCTTTGAAACAGCAGAAAAGGCATCAAGCACCGTGCGCGTAACCCACGAAATTCCCGTCAAGCCGAGGAAATATATGAACTCGGTGACTGGAGCCCGTGGCTCCTCGGAGACTGCACCACAAGCGGCGGATGACGACAGCGGTGATGCAACCGCGAGTGGTAATAAGAACGGAAATGTTGCAAGCGGAAACTTGGCTCAAGCAAAGGCGACATCGGAGCAAGCAGTTGAAACAGAAATCACCACCACCACCACCACCACAAAGACACCAGCGGCGGCGGCGGTAGGTGTTCATCATCGGGGATGCCCTGGGAATTCCCGCGGCGGTGAGTGCGGCTTTTGTTTATTTGAAGAGGCCGTGGTGGAAGCCTCACCGCCATCGTCATCGTACTTGTTTCCGCAAAATGCAAGCGCATCGCCCGACGTCGATTCCCTGCAGCAGTGCCGCCCACGGGACTCTTTTTTGGACACCGCGTGTGGAAAGGCGTCAGGCCACTTACGCTCTTCAACGCGAATTTGCCCGTCAGAAATGGACTCGACGGCTACTTTTGTGAACGGTGTTGTCCAAAGTGACCGCAATTTGAAGGAATCCCGGAGAATTCGGGCAACGTCATTTCCCTCATCGGAATTTTTTTCTGCGGTTGAGAGAGAAAAGGCGCTGCAACAGCAAATGCAGCAGGAAACCGCGGCCAGTTTTCCGCTTTTTGATAAACCCGCTCCAGAGCGCCGCCAAGCTTTGCCTCTTCTGCAGGTTCCTCCTGCTCAAGATACTAATGCTGATTCTGTTATAAAGAAACAAAATATTGCCGCTCTTATTTGTGTACTGGAGCGGCAAAAATTTGCTTTACAGCGACAACTGAAAGAAATAAGGAAAGAATTCTCGGCTCAAAACATATTTTCCCTCGTGAGGGCGAGCAACGCTTCACAGCTTCAGTATCTTCTTGAGAACAAAATTTGTGACGTCAACAAGCGGGACTATAATGGATGTACTCCATTGCACGTTGCAGCGCTGGAAGGCAATGAAGTGATTGTGCGCGTGTTAATTTCGTTTGGTGCGGATCTCATGGCTGTTGATAATACGGGACGGACCCCACTTGACTGGGCTGCCGCCAACCGTCACAGCAGCGTTTGTCACTATTTGATGAATGTTATTCAACGTCTTATGGTTACGCAGGAACAGAAAAAGCCACAAATACAAAGGAATAGTGAAGCAGAATCAGTGGAATCTACTGAAAAAAATGTTCAACGAAATACGAGTTTTGGTGTGAGCTCCACAAACAACTCAATGATGCAGTCAACGCATTTGACGCCAACATTGCGAGAAAGTACATGTTCACTGGCTACGCCATCGCCACCACTGGATTCCGAGATTGGAAGTGAACAGCAAAATGATCATGGTCTTTTATCTTCATTTCTGGCCTGTCTCCCACCTGACATGATCTCATTGATGCGCTCACGATCTGTATTATCCGCTAATCCTATTGAAGCTCCCCTGCACGAAGACGAAAGTGAATTTGAGGAGCAGGGCACATTTTCCAATTTTTCAAGCTACACAACCATTTCAGGTACGGTGCCTCTTGTTGTTTGCATGGTAGGTTTACCTGGACGCGGTAAATCGTTTATCGCCCAACGTATCTCACGTTACCTCAATTGGAAGGGTGTTCCTTGTCGAGTCTTCAATGCAGGCAATTATCGCCGACGGCTGCTTGGTGTTGAGGGAACTTCGGACGCCGGTTTTTATGATCCAAACAATGCAAACGGAAAACAAATGCGTGAGAAAATGGCAGAATTTGCATGTGAAGACCTCGTGGAGTTTATCTCCCGCCATCGTATTGCTGTGGGTGTGTTTGATGCCACCAACACCACAAAGGCACGGCGAGAACATCTGGTGGAATTTTTTAACAAGGCTTTCAAGCAACGCCATATGGAGAGTCGTGTCATGTTCATTGAGTCGATCTGCAATGATGACACGATTATCACTGAAAATATTCTCCGTGCAAAGTGCGACAACGACGACTTTAAGAACGTTGGAGACACAAGCAAGGTGATTGCTTCCTTTCGTTCTCGAATTTCAGAGTACGAGAAGGTGTACGAACCACTGGATCGCGCCGATGATTTAAGTTTTATTCGTATAATTGACGTGAAACGACACGTTGTGATGAAAAATATACCGTGCGGTCTGGCAAGCAGTATTGCGTTTTTCCTAATGAACTTGCATCCAGTTGCCCATCCCATATATATTTCCCTCCCTGGTGAAACGGAAGGTGAAAAGAATCATATGTATGGTGGTGATGAGCATCTGACGCCGCTTGGAAATAAATTTGCATTGGCACTGAAGCGTTTTATTTTGGAGCGACATTTCCCACATATGATCGTGCTGCACGGTACAAACCACAGTGTGCTGAACACTCTGAAGCCGCTTGCACAATCCTTGCGAGAGGACAGTGGGGATGGTGTGGATAAAGTGGAAGAAGAAGAAAACAGCGCCTTTAGCGGGATTACATGTCAGGAAGAACTTCTCTGCCCATTACCGGGTCTTGATAGCATAAACTACGGCTTGTTTAGTGGACGGACAGTACAGTGGGTACGAAAGCGGTACGCAAAACTTTCACGGCTTCTTTACGTGGCATCTCCGGTGTGTAGTGATGAATCTGTGCTTAATTTATATAACTCGAAAAAGTTGTACTCTGTTGATGTAGATGATAAAAAAAAAGGGATAATTGAGACGCATGAGTATCCAACGAAACAGAATCAAAGGGGAAAACAGGTGAGAAAACAGCATTTTGACAAAAGTGCTCGGGCAACTAGCCGTTTCCTTCATGTACCGAATGGCACAGACCCTCGCTTATCGTACTGTGTGCAGTTTCCAAATGGTGAAAGTTGTAGACAGGTGAATGTTCGACTAGAACCAGCGCTTATGGCGGTGATGCGGGTTCAAGGACCAGTCTTTGTTGTCGCAACCTCAGTACCTGCACAAGGCGTCCTTGCTTTTTTCACGGATGCCATGCCAGAGGTGTCGCCAACTCTGCGTTTGCCACAGCACGCGGTGGTAGAGATTGGTGTCAAGGGAGAAATCACAGTGCATCAGCTTGTAGAACCCGTTGATCATGTCCCCCAACCTGGATCCATAAGAGAGGGCCGATACTGAGGTAAATATGTATGTTTAGATGCGGGCATGTATGTACACACACGTGAGGGTGATGATTGGGTAAGCATGAATTGGGGTCTTAATTTGAGAGGCGTAGGAAAGAAAAAAAAGAAAGAAAGAAAGAAAGAAACAGCTGTGCATCCAAACGCACACGGAAACGCGCTTTTTGTTAGTTTTTGTTGTTGAAGTCTTTTTTTTTTTTTTGTGTGTGTGTGTTGTGTGTTGGTGGTGGGAGTAGGTTTATTTTGTTTTTTTTGTTCTCCCATGGGCATGCTATTCCGTTACTGTTTTTTTTTTTCCTCTTCTGTTTTTCTCTTGTTATTTGATTGTGTGCCTTTCCTTTTTGGCGTTTTGGTTTGCTGTTGTGTTATTCATTTCCTTGTCTTGAAATTTCTTCTCTTGTTTCCGGTGTAGGCTTCACTCTTCCAAATCAGCTGCTTTCCCTGAGGCAATTTTGGCACGATCCAAAGAGGAGGAACGGAGGCTGGATGTCTCCAGTTGTTTCTGTCTTGTTGTTGTTACCTTCCGCTGTGTTTGTTGTCCTGCCACACTATGCCGACTTCTCTCTGTTTTGTTGCTTTGAATATTTGCCTGCGCCCATATTTTTCTTGTTTTTTTTTTCTTTTTTTATTGTGTGTGTGCGAGTGTGGTTGTGGTTTGTCGCGGTTCTTAATTGTGAATAGTTGATTGCCTGCACCTCGCATCCAATTAACTCCACTGACGCGGCGTTATTTTTCTCCGTCTCTCTTTTGTGGGAGCGACCACAGGCACACGGTAAGGAGGTTGCAGCGGTCATGATCATATTGGAAAGGGCTCCCATGACAAATGGCGAGGTGTTTGCGCTGCTGCGACGACGACGCGACGAGCGAAATGCGAAGGCGCAATTTCCATTTGGAATGCAGTTTATGGGAAGCAGCAACATGTCGCAGATGCAGCAGCAACGGGTGTCAGCCTCTATGGCAGCGAATGCGTCGGCACACACGAGTCTTTTTTTTCCACCGGAAGCACTTGTGTCAGATGGACAGTTTTTCATTGTCAATGGAAAAATTTCTGCAACTCCTCTTCCGAATGCGAATAATCATCTTCTTTTCTCTTCGCCAGCGGCTTCGCACCTTATGGTGCTGTTGACAGAGGTGCGTGCACTACGATACCTTAGCCGGTATGCCACGATCAGCGGCCATAACAGTTTGCACGCTCTCTACGGCCCCACCAGTCTTCATACTCGGCGCTATCAGGAACTCGGTGCCTTGGGTTCCGGCGAAAACTTGCCGCGTGCTCAGCGGCAGAGTGAAGAGAATGGATTTGATGCCTTGCCGCCGCAAGCAGACGAGGTCCCTCGGGAAATCAATGCTGTCACAAAAACTCAAGAACAGGCCTTGACGCAGCTGGTGAGGCGGTATCGCCCGGGCACTGTGGGTCATGTGCGTGCGGTCTTGGCTCTTCTTGGAATTTGGGAAACGAACGGACGCGAGATGGAACGTCAGGGCTCAACAAGAGTGAAGTCGGTGTTGCGTGCGGTGCGACAGAGGCTCAGCGACTCCGCTCGGAGAAACGAGGAAAACTCCATTGTGCACAATAACGATAAGGACAATCAGAATGAGGAACAACAACAACAACAACATCTCCCTTCAGAGCAACTGCGCCCGTTGTTTACCCCGCCTTCTCTGCCGCTTGCAGTATTTCTTGCAGAACAACCTCCTGTGGTCACCGCTGCTGACACGTCTACAGGAAATTATCAGTGGACTGAACAGGATGTCATTCGGCTTGTTATGGCGAGGCCGCAAAGTAGCCTTGATGTGCACCGCGTCGTGGAGAATATTGAGGAGACTGTCGGCCATAACGAGGAGTTGTTGAACTTTCTCGAAGAGGAACTTGTGAAGGTGTTTCTGTAGGCTGCCGTTCCTTGTCTAGTGGGCGGTGGGGACGATAGCACGAGCACTTTTTGTTGCTGTTGTTTTTTTATTCTTCCATTCCCCCGTCCACACACACACACACGCAGGAAGACCCACAACACAGACAGTGTTTATCCGTTGTTTTGAGCTGCTTTGCTTTTCACCGAAGAGAAAATTTACTGACATCCGTTTTATTCGAGATGAACCGCGGTGGTTTTTTTTTTTTTTTGTTGTTGTTGTGGTTGTTTTGTTTACTTTCATTTTTTGTTTCTTTCCGCCTGTCTGCCTTTTTGATCTCTTCATTGTCCTTTTGTGCTTGCTGTACCTTCTTCGACCTTTTAGTATTATTATTAGTATTATTATTAGGAAATAGGTGGCTATTTATTTTATTTAACGTACTTTTTTGTACAGTTTTTTTTTTTTTTTGTTTTTCTTTTGCTTTTTTTAAAATTTTTTTTCCCCTTTTCTCTCATCACCCAATCAGTTGAATTTGGAAGGATTGTAAATACGAATATATATATTTATATTTATTTACTTTTGTTGTTGTTGTTTGGAGGGGTGGGGTGGGGAAAAAAAAAAAAAAAAGAAAAGAAAAAAACCAGGTATCCGTGTCGTCACTTTAGCGGCCGACGCCGACTGATAATCCAGGAGGGAGAAAGAAAAAAAAAAAAAAAAGAGGGGTGGAGAAGGGGGGGAATAACAAAAATAACAGGAGAACAAAATACAAACCAATACACACGCATATATTTCACAGCGTTTTTGTATTTGGAAGTTACTGCAGAGGATTACTGATTTTTTTGTTCCAGCTATACCTCGTGTTGGTGCCTTACCCCCCTACCTACGGTCAATTCACCACGGAAGACACACACAGAGGCGTAAAATATACATATTTGACTAGCTGCTGTGTGTTAGATTTTGCCTTTCAGAGGGTTCTACTTGTTTCATAATCCTTTATAAAGGATGTCTGAGAGAAAAATGGTAAATAAGAGCAAAACTGGTATTCGTGAAAAACTCCACAGTGCCATTGCATGGCTTTTTACTCCCGGACACAAAAGTATTGAATATTGCAAGAACCAGGGCGAAGGAGATCATCAGGTGTCTGCTGCCGTGGATGGGTCTTCATCGTTGGCAGGTGATGGGTGTCCGCTGACGACGCCACGCGCCAATTTAAATGTAAAAATCAATCGAGAGGGTCTCCAGCAGGCGGCGGTGTCGGCAGCGACATCCCAACATGCAGGCGAACTCTCCACGCGAGCTGCTGGTAACAACCTCGCTTTGGATTTGGATGCCGCCTCAATTGATCACAGCGAGTTCTTCTCGTTTCTTGAGGACGTTATTGGAGGCAAACACATTGAAATGCTGAAGGAGCTAAATCAATTGCACGAATCAAACGCCAATAGCAACGTGGAAGCCAACACTGTTGACTCACCTTCTCCGGCTCCCGTAGAAAGTGGAGAAGGTTTTGGGGAAAGTGTTCTGAGGGCGTCCTCCTTTCTTGCTCCTTGTGTAGAAGCACAAGGACAAAGTGAGAGGATTTCCGAAGTAAAACAAGACACCTTAGCTAATAAAACGGAGAGAGACGGTGCTTCTTCGGCTGCTCGCTCGCTGAAGGGCTATGAGCTCATTGCATATCTTGGTAAAGGCGCATTTGCCGAGGTTACTTTGGCACGGCATAAAGCAACCCAGAAGCTCTTTGCGCTAAAGAAGATATCGAAGCGAAAGGTGCGAGAAGAGGGTTGTGTGCAGCGTACCTTCACGGAACGTCAGTTACTTGCGTCACTTAAGCATCCCTACTTGGTGAAGTTGTATCAGGCATTTCAGAGTCGTACGCATCTATATCTTGTTCTTGAATTTGCTCAGGGAGGAGATATGTATTTTTTTCTCGAATCGAAACCATGGCTGCGGGAGATGCGTCGTAAAGTTCAAAAATTGAGGAGGCTTTCCTTTTGCAGTGACATGGCATGCTCATTTCCAGGCGACGCGCAAGACGAGTCTGATCTGACGTCGAATCACTCTTGTCCTTCTAAGCACTTGATTTCTACCGTTTCCTCTTTCAGTAGCACAATACAGTTGGCCCCAGACCAGAGCCGTGCACCAATTCGTTTGGTCGCCTTTTACGCTATTCAGCTTGCGCTAGTACTGCAGTATCTGCATGATAA